TATGGTGAACCTTGCTAATTAAGAATTTGTTCCAACCTTCCAGGAGATACCAAAGAAAACAAAAGTATGAACCACCAACTACCAACTGTCTTTTCTCCATTCATACTCTCCCAAACATCGACCATTTCTCTCTTTCAGTTGTAATGGTCTTTCATTCTGAGAATGAAAACAGCATATATCGACCACAAACTTAAGCCAAATATTCTACAAAAGTAGTATTCTAATTAATTACATGAATTGTCTTTTCTTATATTATTTTTCCTTCTTAAAGACTATCTTTTTCCTTGGTAATCATTTACTAGTTCATCTTCCTATGTTCGGTTCTGGACTTACATCAATGCCTTCTTTATCCTCTTTGTCTTATGTTAGCTTCAGGCCAAGAGTCCAACTCTATTGGTTGCATTTTATATTAATACAAGTTTATCGCAAAGACAGGGCCTTAAGGTAAAGAGTAAAAACTGATACTTATTTCACTTTTATGGTTTAAATCTTGGATATGCTATACTGAAGTTGTGGATGATGTCAATGATACAACATTTTCATTTGTTTAAATTTTCGAATTTAGAATACTAACAACTTACAACTCAAAATATATGAGACCTACTTACCTACTATGGTGAAACTCTTATTTGCATAATATTCATTATCAAATAAGAATCTGTTAACATCTTTGTCAAGTTCTCCCAAGTTTTATGGCTAAAATTAAAGTGTCCACTTTGGGTTTCAAATTGCTGTTTCCTTAACTTGGTGGTTCAAAGCTGTTGGCTACTTGAGGGTACGGTCAAGATTATGCATTTATATGGATGAAATCTGCTCAGTGTCAAAGAAATTTGAAGACACAATATTTTCTTAAGAACATTAACAGAAATAGTTGGCGTCTTAGGCTCTAAAGAATATTTTGCATTGGTGTACAATGGCCAAAACTCTTCTGTCTATCATCAATCCATTTAGCATCCTCACAATTTACTTGTTAATTTAAATATCCTGTACATATCATGGTTTAATTGCTAGTTTATAATCATACAAGCTCCCAAGCAACTAAACTAAATCCTATTACCGAATCTGCAACCTTATCCATGACTTATCAAACTTCCAACTGTTCCTCTTTATAAATTTTTAACATAAATGTCTTAAATATGATATAAAAAATATTCTCTTTCACAGAATTAAAGCACTCAGTCTTCTTGAATTAGCAAAAATAAGATATTTTCAGATTCACAATTTCTTGAGATTTTGGACTAGTCAACTTCACCACATCAACAGTAATCAACCAACCATTCAGAAAGAAATATAATGTTCATATGAGCAAATTAAAGGATATATTATATGCTGAAACAAAATAGTCCAGGACTAGGAAGTTGTTAACATACTTAGCTGCATAACAAATGGTAATCCACCAGAATAGGATGCTCTATAGAAACAAGGTTTTCTAGAATTAAGTACCTGGAAAGCTTAAAGCAACACCTGTGCAACAACCAGCTACACCTGCATTAATAACTGCAAAGCACAATTGCAAGTCTACCAATTAAGCTCCTCAAACAACAAATCCATAAAAGAGAAAGTGTCAGATGGCAAAGATATCATACCATCATCTTTCCCTCGCAGTCTCTTTAAGAAGCAGCTAACCAGACTGTGAACGCCAGACAAAATTGCAAATGTCTAATAAAGAAAACAGTGATAAAATGACAAGTCAGATATAATATGCTACTGCCAAGAAGAGTAAATTCCATGGGCAAACTAGAAAAATGCATATGAAATCAAAGAATATAATTATGAAAAGAAAATGCAAAGAACAAAAGAAAGTAACAAATCACATGCTGCCACCACAAAATTTCATAACTGGTAAACAATAAAGCTGCAGATAAGAAATCAGAGAATAACATTATGAGAACAAATTAACAATGCAATGAACAACCTTGGCAGAAGAACCAGCATCACCAAAGGAGCCTCTAAAACCTCTTTTATTTACCAGACCTTTTCCTGAAAAAACATCCATTAAAATCAATCACTCATGATAACATGAAAAAATCCAAAGTAGATATTCCATGAAAATTAAAAAGATTATGAAAAGCTACTACCACTTCTAATAACCCCTTCTCAGAAAAACCATGAATTACATTTCCAGCATAGTGAAGCTGATATTATAATAATAAAAGGTGCATAATTCATGACACCAAAGGGAAGATACTCAAGTATAAATAAAACACATAGACCCCTTCAAAAGCTTAACAGGCTTCTCAAACAATATCCATACAAGTGAAAAAAAGAAGGCACCAACTTCGTTTCTCATTACTTCAGAGGCCACAAGTTGGTAAGCTCTTAAGAAGCTCCTACGCCAACCAACTAAAGAATTGGCCTCTATATCTTTACTAACTAAATGATTGACCTAAAAGCTGAAAGTAAATGCATCGAAAGGATCACCAACATAACCATTTATTGCTTCCTATGTTAACCATCAGGTAGTGAAGGTTAAGTTTCAACCTTTACAAAGAGGAGCACATCATTGATAGATAATTGTTCAACCGCACTTCTTGTGATTCCTGGCAACTTAGAGAGACCATTATAAAACACATAAAAACATGATCAGCTACTAGTGATAATGGAGATCGAAGGCAAGACCGAAACTGCCACCACCCAGTCAACTTGGTGGTTGGACATCCAGAAGGCCTCCCTTCGGTCGAAATTTCGAATCTCCTTCGAATCACGGCATCAGGGATTTGAAACCCCAGCCAAAGGGAAGCCTCCCAACCACCGGTGGTGGCGTTTCGTATCTCCACTTGCGACTAGTGAACGTTGTTCAAGAATCGAAGAGGAAACGAGTACATCAACCCAATAATAGAGACATTAGCGCAGGAAAACCCGTCGATGAGCAGGAGGGTCAAACAAGAAGAGCAAAGGAGGGGGTAAAGCTCACCATAACCGAAGATGGAGCCCATGAAGCCTCCAGCGGCCGAGTCGCTGGCGAACCTCATGAGGCAGACGACGGGGGCGACCGGAGGAGCGACAGGGTTGGCGTTCAGGTTCGTCTCTTCCGCGTCCCGTTCGGGCTCTGGATTCGATGAAGACGCCATTTCGCTGCTCGCCATTCTCCCCGCTCCGTTTGCGGGTTCAAGCCTCTATTATATCGATTAGGGTTCGAGAACGGGCCGGCCAATATTCCTCGTGTAGGTCTTGGAGCACCACAAGCTGACCCTTTATAATACATCAGTATCCTGTTGGAGTCCATGTCCGACTTCGACTTATATGAAATAAAGATGCTTAGCTACTTTTTTTGATGGATATAAGATCATTACATTATTAGCGGGGAGTCATTCTCCTCGGTATATTGATGGATATTTTTGCCATTTCAAGATGGGATTTCAGAATCTTATTATAAACAGTCAAATATTTTACCAGTTAAATTATTTAATATTATATATATATATATATGATTCATTTTCTAGAAAATATTTATATTTTGAGTATTTTTTAATCAATACCTTCTCTTTTATTTTTTTCTAAATAATATTTTTAATTTTAAAATAAAAAATACATCTCAAAAAAATTATAATTTTTATTTATTATTTTATCAGCTTTAGACTGTTACATTATTTTCATTTGGTTTGTTTATAGTGTTTTGTAATGACATTTATAGTGTTTTCATTTGACTTATTTATAGTATATTTAAGTAGGTTTTATAATGTTTTTGTCATACTATTTTGACCATCATAATAAAAATATTGTAATAGATGAAAAAATTTTGAAGATGAATTTGGATTTTTTTAATTAAAGGTACTATTTGGAAAAAGCAAAATGAGGATACTAATTGGATATTGTTTTAGAAAAATTAATATTTATATAACGAAATTTTTTTTTAAAAAAAATTGACCTTGATAATTTCTATGTCTAATATATGAAAAGATTATTTGACCCCTGTCTTCATGAGACCTATGTCGTCTCCATCTTGCATCATTACTTGCGGCCCTAGCTACCACTTCCTTCGTTGATTGCACATCTCACCTCAGCATGTCTTACTCGCAACTCTCTTGCAAAGAAATGAAAGATACGAGAGCCATAATCATTACTTACAATCATCGTATGAGGGCCCACCACCTACAATCTTAAACTCGAGACTGGCCACTACCCTCCACCTTAATGACTTTCGTCATGCTTGCCTGTGACCCTTGCGTGAAGAAGGAGGGGGTGTAAGGGTTGTCACATTCACAGCTACTACTAGATCTTATTAAACCCACCATTGCATCTGCACACACAGGGATGGGTCCGATACGAGTTGGCAAGATATGCAAAAGACACTGATAGCCCTTGTACCCCCTTTTTTCTCGTCTAAGGGTTACAAGCGAGTACAATGAGAGCGATGCAAGACGTAAGTGGTGATGACGATGGGTCTGATAAAGCCAAAGATAAAATAATCATTTATAATATAAAAATAACATTCTATAAGAATTTTTTAAAATTGAGACATACAAAAATTTTTAAAGTTAAAAGTATTTTTTTATAATTTATCCATATATATTTTAGAAAAAAAGTTTATACTTTTGAAAAATTCTTGAAAAGTACTCTTTTTAAAATAACTATTTTACCCCTAGCCCTCATTGGATATAACACCATCGTCGCCTATATCCTACACCACCTCACGTTACTCTTATCGTGCTCATCTTTGCTCGTAACTCTCGCACGAGAAAGAAAGTGGTATAATAGCTATCACTATCTCCACATACTTCGTTGGCCCCTGTCAAACTTGTTGTCACCTTCGTGCCTCCTCTTTTGTCGCGATGAGTTCGAATAAAGAATGCGTAAAATAATTCTTCCACGAGAATATTATTTTAAAAAATTTTAAAGTACCAGCACTCGATACGAAATTAAAAAATAGAGATTTTTTAATCGAAAATTCGCATATATATATATATATATATATATATATATATATATATATATATATATATATATATATATATATATATATATCCGAATGATGTCAACGCTATGGGCCGGGCCGAGAATAGACTCCTAGTTTAGCTTCCTTCATCTTCCTTCCGACCTCTACAATGCCGCCGCTCCTCCCGCCGGTCGTCTCGTCCTCCTCCGCACCTCTCCTCTGTACTTCTCTTTCTCCTCCTATCCTTCTCCTCCTCTTTCCGCTTCCTTTCTCCTCGTTCATCTCCTGCCGAGTTGCGGCCTTTCGTGCCATCTGTTATGAGTAATGTTAAAAAGATTTGATCTTGTCACGCTCTCCTTTCAAAATCTCACACCTTTATGTAGTTTCGCCTTCAACTTGCTCCGCTACGCCACTTGCGGCGGCTCGGAGGGCCCCAAAATGGAGGTTGAGAACGAATGGGAGAAGCTCCTGAAACCTTTTGATCTCGAAGCGCTTCGTGATTCTCTCAACATCTTAACCCCGCTTCGTCTCTGTAAACTGCTTCAGCTTCCCCTCGACATCTCGACATCCATGCAACTCTTCCATTGGGCCGGCTCGCAGAAGGGCTATTGCCACTCCTTCGATGTGTATTATGCTCTTGTTCGGAAATTGGGCGAAGCCGGAGAGTTTAGTACTATAGATCAGCTGTTACGCCAGTCCAAGGAGGAAAGGATTGTTTTAAAGGAGCGTCTTTTCGTTGTGATTATGAGATGGTATGGAAAAGCCGGCTTGCCTGGAGCTGCAGTCCAACTGCTTGATGAAATGGCTGATGTATTCGGCTGTAAGCCAACCTTTCGCTCGTATAACGTGGCTCTTGATATATTGATCGGAGCAAATTGTCATAGAATTGCAGCTGATGTCTTTAATGCAATGGTCCGTAGAGGAGTCTCTCCAACCACTTTCACTTTCGCGCGTGTGATGAAGGCACTTTGTTTGATCAATGAGGTTGACGCTGCTTGCTCACTTCTGAGGGGTATGGCAAGGCATGGGTGTGTGCCTGACACGGTTATATATCAAACTCTGATACATGCTCTCTATAAGGAGAATAAAGCGCATGAGGCATTAAAGCTTTTGGAAGAGATGTTTCTCATGGGCTGTTCTCCTGATGTCAATACCTTCAACGATGTGATTCATGGGCTTTGTAAGCTCGGCCATTTACGTGAAGCAGCCAAGTTGGTTGATAGGATGTTGCTTCGCGGGTGCAGTCCAAATGCTTTGACCTATGGAGTGTTGTTGCACGGCTTGTGCCGGAAGGGTCAAGTTGATGAAGCAAGAACTTTGTTGAGTAAAGTGCCTCACTTGAATGTTGTTTTGTTCAATACAGTGATAAATGGTTACTTGAGTGAAGGGAAATTTATCGAGGCCAAGGATCTTTATGGTAGGATGGTGGAAAGTGGATGTCAACCTGATGTATACACGTACAATATCATGATGCGTGGCCTTTGTAAGACAGGAAATTTGGGATCAGCTATGCAGTTACTTAAAGAGATGGAGGCCAATGGTTGTATGCCAAACGTCATTAGTTACACGATCTTAATCTATGGATTTTGCAGTGATGGTATGTGGCAAGATGCTAATGCAATTGCAGAAGAAATGTCCGCAAAGGGGATCGGTCTTAATACTGTAGGATTCAATTGCCTTATTTCTGCTTTATGCAAGGACCATGAACTTCATGAGGCCATGGAGCTGTTTGAAAAGATGAAACGAGTAGGGTGCAAACCAGATATATTCACGTTCAATTCTCTGATATGTGGCTTGTGCAAAAATGGCCAAATTGAAGAAGCATTCCATTTATATGAAAATATATTTTTAGAGGGTGTAGTTGCTAACACTGTTACCTACAACACCATGATACATGCATTCTTACAGGCAGGAAAATGGCAAGAAGCTATGCAACTTGTTAATGATATGGTGCTCAATGGTTGTTCACTTGATATTATAACCTACAATGGGCTTTTAAAAGCCCTTTGCAAAGCTGGAGAAGTTGATAAGGGACTTGGATTACTTGAGGAGATGACAAAGAAGGGTATTCGGCCTACTAATATTTCTTATAACTTCTTAATTAGTGGGCTATGCAAGACAAGAAGAGTCCATGATGCACTTGAACTCTTGAGAGAAATGCTTGATCGGGGAATCACCCCTGATATAGTCACTTACAATAGTCTAATAAGTGGCTTGTGTAAGATGCAGTGGATGCGAGCGGCTTTAAACCTGTTGGAGAAGCTACATGCTGAAGGCATAGCTCCAGATATTGTAACTTACAATACTCTGATTAGCTGGCACTGCAAGGCAAACATGCTTGATGATGCCTACATGTTTCTGAACAGAGCAATAAATGGTGGAATTATGCCAAGTGCTCTCACTTGGGGCATAATGGTGAAAAATTTTACCAGAGAGTCAGTGCTTCTAATGCCAGAGCAGTAAAGGAAATTGGAGCCAGGTACTATTTGTCTTTGTTGCTACTTGCTAAACCTAATCAGTTTCCAAGACACTTCGACTAATGCTGTTATAGTTGCAAGGAAGAATTATTTTTTTGGTTTTGTGTATCAAACACCCAGGCATTCCAGCATTCCCCAGGATTTTTTAGGAGGCTCACTGTCTTGGAGCTGTCTGATATTGTAAGTTGTTTCATAAACAGCTTGACATACAAATTATTTTCTTATAGATTGGGGAGTTTGTGTATATTTGTGGTTTTTCTGTCCTTATTCGAGTGATTCTTCTGAAAAATACATAATACTTTGATATGCTAACCATATATCATCATGATTTTCTAATAGAGCTATCATTTTTATCCTACATTAATGCCAATGTAAATCAATAACCTTTAAGAAATGGTGGCCATCTCAAAAATCTATATTCCCATCGCTGCTGGCTTTTGCCATTTTGTCCTTTGTGTGGTGCTATTTTGACCAGTATCTACTACCTTAACAGTGTGTTATTTGTTCTCTTCACAGCCTCTTTTGAAAAAGGTTGATTTATGTAAGTGGTAAATGCTATTATGCACGTATGTTTATTCTTGCACTAATGAAATCTATACAGTTACAAGAACCAAGAACTTTGTGCAAATTTGGAATATCCATGTCCATAGTTGTGATCTGCAGTCTGGAATTTTAACATGGCTTAACAATTTGAGTTCTGTCTATAACGACATGAAATTTGCTATAGTGCTTTGCTGCCATATGCTGAAAGATTTAAATGCTTTTTTGTCATTTTGTTTAAAATTTGAGGTTTATCTCGTCAGACATCTAGGTAAATTGTTTGAAAATTAGACAGACTATGTAGAATCTTGGATTTAGAAATTAACATCTAACATTTAAACCTCAGTCCTCTCTTTATCCAAGCATTTAGAAAGCACCTCTGACAGTTAAAACAAAAATACAAGTAGGAAAAATTGAATCTATTTGACTAAAATCTTCTTAAAAAATCTCCAAGTATAATTCCTTGACAACTTTTTGAGAATATTTATTGTTAAACGAGTAGAGAAACTTGATATTAATTATCTTTAGAATATTCCAAAAAACTTCCTAATCAGAGCAGACAACTAGGCATATATATTCTGTAAGGTAGTGTTTTTTTAGTAAGTTTGGAACATTGTTGGTAGCAGAATATTGTTAAATTTTGCACTTCATTCTAAAGATGTACAATTAATACATCCATATTTAGTCAATTGACGGGCAATTCCATCTTGCTAATGTGGCTAAACCTGACTACATTGACTACACTGGCTATATCCAAAATGTCCTTTACAGTAGCTTGAAGATTCCATGACACTACATCGAACCCTTTAAGTAGTTGATAGCCTCCAGCGAGTTCGATTTCACCCAGATGCCATGTAGATCATCTCTTCTGCACCTTGTAAGCCTTTCAGGATTGGTCTGCATCTTGCATAAAGGGCACTGTATACCCTTCCAAACTCCAAAGAAACAACTAGCTACAGCAATGGAACCATGTTCCTCTTTGACCATAATACCTGCCCCTGGAAAATTAGAATCTGGTTGAAGGGAGTCATACATTCCATATAAAAACTAACCAAAGTGGTATCGCCATCAGTAATTAGTGTCTGATCGAACCTCTTGGATATATTTCAACTTGGGATAAAAATATTCATGGTGACTGCCACCTTATACGAAAGAAGAGATTTTGGCTTAGTGGTTGGTTGTAAAATGATGATCATTTGTATTAAATCAAAGAAATTATTAGGAATTGCCAATGACACTTCTAATTTGACAAGCAGACTCTTTATCCAATTCTTGTCCCTCTTTCAAGTACTCCCCAAATTTCCAATCATCAAAAGATTGAAACTTAAAACTACAAGCAGCCTGTTTTGAAAACTCACGGGCAAAAGGACATTAAAAAGAAAAATGTATGGGAGAATCAGAGAACATCTTGCACATATTACAACGATCAAGTTTAGTGTGCATTAATCTAGCAATCAAATCAGAAGTTGGTAATTTGTTCCAAAGAAGTTCCATTAAAAAAGAATTTGACGTTAGGAATTAGGATGGGTTCCTAGACACCACATCACCCTTGACCCAGGTCAATTAATCTTATTAGTGTGGTACTCTCCTTCACAAACTGGTAAACACTCCTGGATGAAATGACATCACTCAAGGAAAGAGTCCACATTCATCTATCATCATCGGGGCATTCAGACATGAATTTCGAACACTTTTTTGACTAACAAATGGTGAAAGCACCTACTCAGAACTTGCACCTTCGATTCTTACTTGTGTGCTTGTTTTTCCAGCTGCTTCTTCAAAGATGCCAAGTATCATGGTGATAATTGGAAATAGCTGGTGAACATTGTAGAAGATCAGCACTTTGTCAAATCTGCCACTTGCTTTGTAGTGATGGAGATGACTCAAGTGCCAGGTTAGAAATCTATCCTTAGATGCAGAAACATTGCTCATTTTTTCTGTCAGATTGACCAAAGAGAAGGAAACTCGAGTGGTTCTCTTTCTTGGTTTAGAACAAGAGTGTTTTCCTGAATTAACAAACTTCTCTCTCCATTTGCTTCCTTTTGCCACCATTTTACCTGATCAGTGAATGTTTGCAGGGTTAGGAAGTCAATCTAGCTGCAGCAGATGCTTGCCATGGTGTGTGGCAGCCCCTGTGACACTCAAAGGGCCATTCTTTAATAATGTTCAGGCAATTATGTGGTCAATTGAAGATTATATATATATATATATATATATATATATATATATATATATATATATATATATATATTCTTTTGATAGTTTTCGCCATTGCGACTCCAATTTTTCCAATCACAGGCAGCAGTTGGTGTAGGTCTCATTGCCATTTGCATTAATAAGAACAAGGCGATCAAGAACAAGCTTCCAACATCAGATCTGTGTGGTGGCCCAAGCTTTTTATGTATCATAGAGAAGAAGAAGACACAAGTAAATGGGACTGCAATCATGCAATTAGGCATGGATACCTTGTTGTTAATTCCAGACATGGATGGACTCTAACATAGCTGCATTGATTTCTAGTTTGGTGATCTCTGTTAACTAAGAAATATATGAATGTGATGTCCCTATCATTATTGATGGAAGCCTCTTGGTGCTTTTTGTCTGCTAATGAACATTTGCTGTTCACTGTTTTAGCCATTCGTGCATACTTGGCCATCCTGATTGATCTAAAACAATTTTCTTCAAGGCATATACATGTGAGTTGCCAATTGGTGGATACTAAACTTTATGAACTCAATTGACATCCATCATGAATCTGGCATAATTCACCTAATAAATTAGATGGGAAGACATTATATGCTATGGGAGATATTTGTACTATTGGTATCTAAGAAGGTTTTGGGTCATCTCTAGTGACCCCCTCAACATCTATAAGTCAATTTTGACCTTCATCACTTGCTCTCTCGCTCTTCTTTTATTTAAGATAATTACTTTAGGAAACAAGCCCAAATTTTGTCATTTTATTTGAATTATATATATATATATATATATATATATATATATATATATATATATATATATATTCCCGTTACTTGTATTGGGGTTTTACACGTCTACCTTTTATAATAATTTATTTGCTGTTAAGAATTTTAACAACTTATATATCCTTTGTTAATAAAGATTATTATTCACAGCCCCTTCTTTTTTTCTTTCCCACAATCTCTCATCTACTCAACGCTAACACTATTCACCACTGATGTCACTTGTTGTGGATGTTGTTCGGTGCCTTGCATCTTCGTTCACTTTCGATGCCATCAAAATTTTCTCAATGTTCATTGTAAATGTAGTTGGAGGTGATACCAATCATCTATTTAGTTATTGTGAATATTGTTTGCCACCCCCTCCGACATTGTAGGCGTAGTTATTACTGTCGATACTCCTCTATTATCGACATTTGTAACTCACTCGCCTTCCCCTCCCTAAACATCATGAACCTCCATCGTTGATTGCTTACTTTTCTCCTTCATATCCTCTGTAACCGTTTCAAAAAAACTAATATCTTAGGAGCGTGAAGATATTTGGGCTCCGATGATTACCCATATAACTTAGCCCACATATTATTATTGTTTCCATTAGCAACTCTTGTGGGGCCTATCCGGCCCTTGCGATCGCTTGAATTATTGTTGATCAGATCGAGGAGAAAGAAAAAAAAAAAAGGATATTTATGTCCATTTATAAATGAATATTTTAGAAATATTAAAAAAAAAATCAAAAAGTGGGTTGCAAATAGAAAACTCTTTTATAATTTTAAAATATTACAAATATATTTATTCAAATATTGAAACCTTCCATTAGCTTCCATTTAGCAAACTCATGTTAACTATGACTACCCATGATTACCGTTAAAAATAAATAGTGTTATAATTTTTAGATATCTCAAATATCATCATTTTTTTATCAATTATCCGTTCCCTTGTTTTATAACTTTACAGTAATTACAAATTTATAAGAAATACATAAAATTAAAAGTGTCAATCACGAAAGCTTATATATATATATAATATTAAAATTAAAATTAAAATTATGTATTTATAAGAAATACATAAAATTAAAATTAGCATATGTCTAATATTATGATATCATATATATAAGAAAGGACAAAATTAAATTAAAATCAGTTAAGTACAGAAAAAAATAATATTTAGCGAATCAACAAAACGGAGGAGGCTTGTTTTGAGGGAGAACGAAAGGGGCAAGAGAACAAGCCGATTGCTCGCAGCACTAAATAGGCACAGAGTGAGGCCTTCAACGACTCCTCTCTTTCTCGTCCTCTCCCCGCTCCTTGTTGGCGACGAAGAGATTGGCGATCACCTGAGGAAATTGGCGTCTAACTCCCCAAGTCTTGAGCGCTGAGGGGATCTCGTCAACTCGATCCGATCCGCCTTCGTAGGTTGCCGTCTGGTCTGATCCAAAACCTTCGAGACGGTAATCGTTCGACGAATCTTGGCGCTTTTTCCTTTGTTTACTGGTTCAGTGCGACGGAAATGTACCTGTGCTGTAACTGCTCTTGGAATCTGTAACTATAGGGTTTCTTTGCGCGGAAGAGGGAGATGAGCAAAGGGCGGTCCCCCGAACCCTTGGATTTCTTCATTTGGACCGTCGAGGTATCTTTTGATCAATCTTAACGTCTTCAATTGCAATTGTGGTATTCTGTCGTGGGAAAGAAAGAAAAACATGGACTTTGTGAATTGATTGCTCGTTTCTTCGCGTCTAGCGTAGTGTATTCTCTTGATCTGGATGCCTGATGGATTATGATCGTGCAGTTTCGTTTTTGAGTGCTACATTGGTTTCCACAAAAGTGCGTTGACCTTGCGATTCCATGGTACTGGTCGTTTTGCCCTTTCATCGCCTCGAAATTTTCAAGCTTGCATAAGTTGGTAAAAGTAGTATACATGAATTCAGTTGTGCCCTTATTCTAAATCAGGAGTCTAGTCTCAGATACCTAGGTGGAGTTAAGTTAATCCAGATGATTCCTCTTCCATTGTATACTGACCTAGCTAACTTAACTAGGGTAGCAAAGAAGATAACGGAAGATTAATCATTAATACGATCAAGGGTTTTTTGGGTTACAATACTTGATCAAATTAAAACAATCGCTTCTTTGATTGGCTATTGTTGGTTAATCCTTTAAGCATATATTCCCAAGTATAAGTATGACCAAACAAACACCCATAATTGGCACACCAATCGGCAATCTGATTGGCCTCGTGTAAGCATATATGCATGGCAAGAAAGCTTAAGTAAAGAATCTCTGATGATATTAGTAATTTTCTGGGTTGCATTTGATTTCTGAGGTGTAAATCTCTGAAGAAAGCTTAAGTAAAGGATCAGCAATTTGATTTCTGTGTGACTAATCAAAACAGTCAGAGTTCCTAGGTTAGGTCCTTGTGTAAAAAAGATAAGCAGTAGTCTTGAAGAACAAAATTGGCACCACCATTGTAATTGGTCCAATAAAAAACATGTCTGAGTCACCCTCTCTCTTGGCAGGTCCACAAATCCATAGAGAAAATCATTCCTGACCTCTCAAAAATATGCTCTAAGCACCCAACAGAAACCTAGCAATCCAAGAAAGAAACTAAATCTACAAATTCTTGGTGGATGACTGAAATTTCTCTACATGTGATGGAAATATTGTATCTGTATGTAAATATTGTATCTGTTAGGGATAAGGTGATAATTATGATAACCCAAGGGATCTGACATTTCCAGTGAATTGAAGATGGTACAGGAGGGGCATTGACAAACCATTTAGATTTATTTTTCTCTTAAATTGATTTTATTAGTTTAAGTGTCTTTTGCATATTCCATTAAGTTGCCAAATGACATCTACTATAATTCTAATTATCAAAATTTCCAAAAAGAAGCAAAAGGAATGTCAAACAGAAAACAAGATTAATATAGGCTATATTGGTCTACTATAATCCTTCTCTGCTTGGCAAGAAAGATGCCACACTATTGACTTAAGGAAGCTCTAGAAATTGATTAGGAGGAATGAGTCATGGAATATCATTGGAGTTAAAACTCTGGGTTAAACAAGATTCTGAACTATAGAGCTGGTCTGATCCAAAACTTGAGCAAAAGAGCCAATTCAAAGATTTCTTATGTTGGAATTGATATTCACCTTTTGAATATTGGTGCTTGCTCGATATGTTTTACCTGATAAAGGTGAAGCATTCTAAGAATGGAATCCTTGAATTACAGCTGATATATACCCCTTTTTTCTTAATGTTTGAAGTTTGAAATTAAGCAAGAAAGCCTTGTTTCATCTGATCTGCGGCTCAACACTCTATCACTAGTTTTTCGGAGCCCAAGAAGACATCCTATAGTTAAATTCTGTGCAAAGTTCTCTAAGTTCACTATATATGAAAACACTATGCTACTTGTGGTAAATATGAAATTTTCTCCTTCCTTTTCCATGCCCTTCAACAGCAATCCATGGCTAAATCCACATATACAATGTTTGGTGATGATAGATGTCTACTATGGATTCCATCCTTATTTATTGAATATTTATTCCCAGCAGCTATTTTCGCTTTACTGCATATGTTCAATGAGCAGCCTTCTATAAGGTTCACAAGATAGATAATTAGAGAGTGTTATAACATAAACAGTTCTAAGGACACTACTGGACATCTGTGGATGTGTTAAAACTAGAAAACGCATACTTTGAATCAAGTTTTGTTATTTATTTTGTTTGATTTGAGATGGAAAATATGTTCTCAGGATGTTGGATTGTGGCTGGAAGAGATAAATCTTGGAAGTTACCGCCAAGTTTTCGAGGAAAATGGTGTCAATGGGGAGTATCTAGAAAGTCTTTCTATGTTCACAACAGAGCAGATTCTGCGCTTTATCAGGCGATGCCACATGAAATGGGGTGACTTTATTACACTTTGCAAGGAGTTAAGACGCATAAAAGGTTCAATGATACTTCTCCCTTATGTTCATCATTTCTTGAAGTACATTGAAATGTGAAAAGTCTCTCTCTATGAGCCATATTTAAACAATTATTCAGCCTCATAATTTTATGCTTGATGATGGCTAAATTGAAATGTTCAGTGTGTTAAAGATTAACGAAGCCTCTTCAACGACTGGCTTGTTAAAGCTTCAGTATTCATCCTATATACAAATTAGCCCATTCTCAGGATTTGACAATGATCATGTTTACTTATCACTGACCAAACAGAGTACAGAACAAGAAGTGCCATACCCAAATCAGTAAATTAAGTTTTTATCAGTGTTCAATCTCCATGGAGTTCCTTATCCTGATAAGAATTTGAACTTGTTAGTGTTCTTTCTTTATACAAGGTGAATGTGGTTCATGGTGTAAATGACATCACGGGGTTTATCAGTCTTAACTGTTGTTATGTTTCTCTAACTTTCTGTATCTTGCATAAATTCTTGTACCCTGAGTCTTCGTTGCCAATACTAGTGCACTTTACAACATCAGATATGCATGACTATCTTTGTACTCGATTGTATTCTTTATTTCTTTGAAGAGCATGGAGATCACTGTGTGATTGTTTTATGTGAAATTTAGCACATTAGTATATTCACATTTGCAAGCACTTTCATATGTACTTATAAAAATTTAACACTATGATACAAGTACAAATTTTGTAAATGCTTAGGGTCTGAAGAATGATCAATCAGTCATAATTGATTTTGTTGCAGAACCTCTCACTTCTCACAATATTCACATTATCACTGAAAGGAAGATAACATACAAAATACTCATAATATGTTACCTACTCTTGTTCCTCTAACCATAAACCACATCACCACTGATGTAGTTGAGGGTGCATAATTTTACAGTTGATTTTATGTAGCATCTTACCACTAATGATAATGAGGGAAAAAAGATCAAGTAAAACTCTATATTTGCATTTATATGTGAAAATCGTCCCCCACTTGATGTCAATTCTCTCTTTCTATGTCGACAAAGTTCATAGTCATTTTGCATGTAACTTTGGTATCATGTTATCATGAGTGAGTTCAAAGGTGAAGGAAAATTTTACATGAAATCAAGGATTGCTTCTCAGCCTGGCTGCCTGAAAAAAGATCAAGTAAAACTCTATATTTTACATTTATATGTGAAAATCGTCCCCCACTTGATGTCAATTCTCTTTTTCTATGTCTACAAAGTTCATAGTCATTTTGCATGTAACTTTGGTATTATGTTATCATGAGTGAGTTCAAAGGTGAAGGAAAATTTTACATGAAATCAAGGATTGCTTCTCAGCATGGCTGCCTGTGGTGGTCATTGGCCGGAACTGTTTATAACCAACTAGCCGTCATCTGCTTTTGTTTGTGGTCATTTTTCCTTGTTCATTCCCACTGTTTGATGATAAGTCCTTTCTTTTTCAACTGTGTTTCAAGGTTGAACCAAAGTGAGCTCTGGAGTTAAATCAAATAGTGAAAAAAATTATAGTATTGAAATCATTATCATGTGGAATTTTATAGTATTGATCAGTTTCAGTTAATATTGTTCTAGTTTCAACCGAGAAGTTCTGAAAAGGGTATAGTAGGGGCAGGCCACACTGGTTAGTTGTATGCTGCCTACAACTGAGAGATCTGTATATCAATCCACAGTCACATCGAGATCTACATTCTAGGATGGGCATAAACTATGATGTACAAAATTTGCATGAAATAAGTACCTCTTTAAGGAATTACGAGGAACATCATGTAAATGTTATCTTTAGTGACGGAATGTAAGTTAATCAATTGAAGGATGACTGGCTTGGTCAGTTGTTTACACTGGGTGAGGCTCCAAATATTTCTACAATAATAACAACAAAACCATAAGTCCCATGTATTTGGGATCGGCTAGGCTCCAAAGATTCTTTGCTTATTGAAAATGAGCCTATGGTTTTGCTTATTTATCTACTTGTTAATTATAAGAATCAGATATTTGCTTTCTGGTGACACCTTTGCTTCATAAGTTTGAAAATTTCATCATATTTTTCAACTTCCTGTTAGTTGCTGTCTGCAGTGTATTCTTTCTTTTGTGTGCAAAAGAAAGTTATTTGATTTTTCTCCAAGAATATATTTTTTTAATTCCTGCTTATATGATAAATAATTTAGATGGAGCTAGCTTTAAGACAGTTGCAGCTGGTAAAAATGAGTGTTTCATTGTGTTCCAATAACTTCGGAACCAAACCTAAGCATTTTGACCCCATGATAGATTTTTAGTTGGGCCATCAAAGAGCTACAACCGTATGTGCATTGACATGTTTCTTCCATTACTTGCAGTTGCATGCCTGAAAGGGGAACAAGAGGTCCGTAAACCATGGTGGGCTCCCTCATGCTTATCGGTGGTCTTTGTGAGATTGGCAAAGCGCAACAGGCAATCCCGTGTTGTCTCCATGAAGCTGGAACCGTAAGTTTTCAGATGGAAGTGTTGTGTTCCTCCTGTTCCCTTCGTTTTCCCTGATAAATCCTGGGAAAATGGCATGAAAGATGATCTCTGCGAGGAATTATGAGTTGTAGGTCTATAGCATGCCTGGGCTTATCCTTGTTTTATATATATATATATATATACACTAACTGTTTCCTGCTGTATTTGTTGATTTATCTTTTGCAGTTTCCTGTGTGATAAAACTCAACTGGTTGAGTAAATATAGTTCTTCCATTGTTGCTCGCACTACTGTCGATCCATGAATTGACGGTTGAGTTATCAGTACCACTTGATAGTATCATAAAATTGAATGTAACATCACTGTTTTGTTATTATGGAGATCCAGAAGTGGATTGGTAGGAGGAAGTGATCATACACTTACCGTTCATTAGTCTTAGCCTCAGCTTCAGAATTTATGATTTTTCTTCGGTCGAATATGAAACTGGAACTCGTTTCATAACCGACTGTTTTGGCACCTATTTTTATTTTTTTTGTTATAATTTTAATTTTTTGAAAACATCTCTCTAATTAATTGTTTATTAAGCTTCCAAAAAAGATTCATCATTTGACAGGGTATTTTATTGGTTAGATTTTCTTTTTTCTTTTTTCGTCGATTCAGGATCGAATAGTTTCGGTTTCAGATTTCATAGAATTGGAACTAAGTTATTAGAACTCGGTCTCGATTTGCTTTAGAACCGTCATACCATTGATCCAATTCAGTTCCGATTCGAACCATCGGGTGGTTTACCTGACAACTTCTCGGATAGAACTCATGAAAGGAGTTGAATCACTGGCCATGGGGTCTGTATGCATCCTTTTTCGGGTTGATGGGAGCCCAGCAAAGTTGTGATTATTATCAGAGCGGACTCGCGTTAAATCCCAACAACACCAGTCAGTCATGTCCAATGCAAAGAACACTTGTATCGTTTGGCATGATTTGGTTGGGACAATATTTACCGATCCAACGTTAACCAATCGGTATGATCGATACAAGATCTATACTGCCCAGTAGTACATCTGTATAAAGCATGCACCATCCAGTACATTTGATACAGAAAAAAAGAAAAACAAAAAAAGGAAAGAATAGCTGATGCATGTACCTACGTTTTTTGTTTTTTCCTTCAGATTTTTAATCTTTTTCCAAAACTCACTCAGATATGTATTGATATGCCATAATCAGTACACCAAGGTTCTAATCGACACACAAAATGTGTCTCGGTTTCGGTACATACATCAAGCATTGATTAGCATTGATTAATCTCTCATCGCCATCGACCAAACCACGACACACCTACGAGTTCAGACTCTCAGTAGCCAAGTTAGGTAGCCCGACGACACATCACACCCATTTGACCGACACATAAACCAAATTACCAAATTCCGATCGTATAAAATCAACAAGACATTGACATTGACAATAGTGATAGACTTAGCAACAACAACCCATCATCCTAGTTGTGAGCTCAGATGAGATCATAGCCATAGGCCCATAGTCCAACTTAACATTGACGAATTGTTACCCCATAATCATACATAGTCTGATTGATTCTCATGATTCATTACACAACCATGTTCTGATTAATTATTTATATACACATACTAAAGGGTTTTTGTTGGGTATGCCACGACAGAATTCTTACAAGATCAACATTCAAATCCCTGATCCCAAACACATCAACCTATGACAAACTCGAAACCCTAATCAACTTCAAACTCTTTCCACATGTCGGAGAATCAAAATATAACTTAACAAACAGCTTAATAGACCTGGCGCAATAAACAACCTCTCCAATCAGGATTTGTTCGTGGCTTCGACTTGCAGTTTAAAAGTCCCAATCAAATTGACCTGGCGATGGAGACATTGGTTGGAAGCTGCCTCTAAATCAGGACAAGAGAACACTGCATTACGTGACATTAATACCTTCTGCAAACTCCTCACGTTCATGCTTCATGTGGATTACTCTTCCACTTTATCTCCCTAGCAGCATGGTCGTAGGCTCCACATCAGCCTTGCTCCTCAGGCCACAAAAACATTCCCTATCATTCTGCACTCCTCCAATGCCAATGGATTCTACTCGCTCCACATCATTTAGTACACACGGCCAGTTACATCAGCAAATCTACCAAATTCATCATGAGGCACAAAAACAAACCAACCATATCTTCCACTGCTCTGTCACAAGAAAACCCCAAACAGCAGCAAATTAAAGAGATGAGAGGAGAAAAAAAAAACAAAACCAGTTTTTCAAAAAGCGGAGGCGGAATATTATGCATAACACATTGGTTCTTCCACCGCAATTTAGGTCTGCGATCCTCTGTCCTGTTGGCTCGATAACCATGATGATCAGAGAGTTGCAGAACATCAAGATCTTGCTAGTAATCAGCTCGTTCACTGTCCTCCATGAAGTTATGAGCAACAAAACAGATGACACTACTCTTCACCTCTGTTCATCCACACATCTGGTCCATGGCATCCAGATTTCCTTGGTTTTTATTTATATTGGAATGGGGTGTCAGTTTTCTTTTCCCATTTTCCCCCCTTTGGTTCTCCAAGAAGAGTAAACAAAATTTGAGTGCAATGTATATTCTAGTTGTTCCTACAACTGAGGTCCTCTGCTTTATTATCACTAAGAGAGCAGTCTGAGCCCTTCAACTTCTCATCAAATGTGACTTGGAGAGGTTTGTCTTCTTCCAACCTCTGTAGTTGATCAATTTGCTTCTTCCTCTTGACCACCTTTTTGGAAACTACACGATTTATGCCCTTTGCATCCAAATCTGCACCTTGATTACTTAGTGGTTTAAAATGGACTTTAGCAACTTTCCTTGCATCAGCTTCCAATATCTGTATATTCCAAGAAATAAATCTACAAGTTACTGCAAATTTCCTTGTCAAGTGTAGGATGATAAAAAGAGAGCTTCAAATGAGTGTTGCTAATCTTTGGGCAGTGTAAGATGACAAATGATGCATTAGCTTTCAGTATAATTTATCTTTGTGGTTCGACAAGGGCTACATAATTATAAGCAAGAGATGCACCAAGTCAAAGTATGTACCATGCTGATCATATATAGGAGGACCTAGGTGCATGCCATACTCCATGTCAGTGTATAAATTTAAAGTGCAAATCTAGTAGATATTACACAACTTCTAAATATGGCATTTGCATCTTACTATGTGCTTAAGTATCCTAATGTGACATAGCCGTGTTGCCACTGCACTGCATGATGATATGTGACACTCTGATCATCGGTTAGCATTTGCCAAGAAGAATTTGTCAGGTTCAGATACTTGGATTACTTTCGAAATAAAACCATAGGCTACAATAAGGTATCTGAGAGGAGTTGATATAGGTAGGCCAGGAGGACGCTTGTGATGGTCAGAGTTGAGAAAGTGGCATTCCACACAGATATTGAAAGTCCATGAAATCATGTTCCAAAAATACAGATGATTTATATCAAAGAACAGTTTGATGTACCTGAAGATAATTCAATATCATCATGTTCCAAAAATGTGAAATCGAAGGTGCGAAATATGATGGTAGAAGCTAGAAAGTTGTAGAGATATTACAATTCAAAATGATGAACCCAAAATCAATGTCCTACAACATCTATGAGATTATCTTCATACTTTTCTAAAAAAAGCACAGAAACAATAACTCAAACCACACAAAACAAATGAATAAAGAAAAACAAAACAAATCCTTGTACAGATCAAAGGCATTTCTGAAAAAACAAAAAGATAGAAACAAGGATTGAAATTTCGTATCATACTGGAATTTCGAGATTTGCTCGGAATGGTACGGTACTATATACTTATTTCAGTATCCCACTTGGTATATACATATATATATATATATATATATATATATATATATATATATATATATATATATAAGAGGTAAATCGCTCGGTATACCTCTCTTCTCCCCACGCGAGGCGAAGTCGCGGAGGTGATGTCGTAGAAAAAAATAAAAATTGTGACGTCGCCTCTCTTCTTAGGCGACGTCGCAAAAAAAAAAAATTGTGACGTCGCATCTCTTCTTGGGTGATGTTGCCTAGACGACGTCGCAGAAAAAAAAAAAAAAACAATTTCGCTAAGGCGTCGCCTCTCTTCGCCCCGTGACGCCGATACTCTTCTCCCCTCGCGCGGATGAGAAGTCGCCGCAGACAAGGAGAGCAGCACCGATCTCAGGTTCTCCTTTTTTTTTTCCTATTTCTTTCTTCCCCTTCTGCCTCTTCTTTCACTTTGTCCCTCTTTCTTCTCCCTCGGTCACCGTCGACTCCCTCTTTCTTCTCCCTTGGTCATCGTCGACGATAACAACCTCAATCGACGATACCACTCGGTAGCAGCGGTCCATGTATCGGTCTATTGACGGACCGGTACATACCGCCCGGTATAGGCGGTATCATTCAGTATTGCAAACCTTGGATAGAAAATAGGAGCAAAGCCTTAATGACATGAGAAGTCCAATGGAAGGACAACATCCACATTCCACAAGGACACAAAAACTGTCACCATGCTTGAAGCAAACTAAAAACAATGTTGGTGCTGAAGGTGAAGGATGAGACAATACTCCGACGAACTCATCAAGGATTATTAAATGTTCATATGATTCAATTTGTATATATAAAGGACCAGAATGATTTGGTTTGTCACATGTTCTTTCCCCTCAGATTGAGTGAAAACAAGGACAGATCCTAATCACTGATCATTCAACATGTGGCATGTCCTTAACTGTTGTCCCTCTGTTTGAAATTTTAGGATGACACTTTGGCTATTCCTAACAAACTGCAGAACTTAGTGAAAAGTGTTCTTTATTTTGGAGATATAATCTAAGAAGAACACAGTGTTATCCACTAGTGAGGCAACTTACAAAGAGGACTGTATAACAAAGCCAAAAAAACAACTAAAACATAAGAGAGTTCCTTCGGATGATTTCTACTAAAATATCCCAGCTACAATTTAATTTGAAAAGTAGCAAAAACTGTTTATATGATTATTCTCCCCATCATCTACATAATTATTAGCTATTCTTTAGAACATTAGCTGTGTTAGGAATTTCTGTAATAACAAACAAACTAAATCAATATAGAGCTTCCTACACAAAGGTAACATTTCTTTGTACAGATAAGTATTAGAACTACATATCTCCCATATTCATTCAAACAACAGTATTTGATTCTGATCTGCATGATATCCACCCAATCAACAACAATAGCATAATATGGAGGACTTTTTAGGCTTGATAGGATATGCTATTTTGTGCATTAAATGGTTAGCCTATTCGATGAGTGAGAGCTACACAATATAAAAGGTAACTCAATCAATTTAAGATGATGAAATTATGTATATTTTGTTGAATCTTAAATGTCAAGATTCATTTCCAGTTTATGACTTGAGAAAAAATGTCCAAGATTAATTGCTAGAAGAATATTCATCTTGATGTATCAGACTTTTGGATTAGTTACTACAATGATACGTACTGCTTAAACAGAAAATCAAATTCCAGTCTACGACTTGAAGTTGTATATGCATTCCAATTCCAGTCTGACCTAAATGGAAAGATTTATTGCCTCAACAATTGGTTGTCTTTTTCGCTTTAACACTCCCATTACATCTAAAAAAGACCTTCAGTTTGGCATGATGGGACCATTGACATATTGCCCAACATAAATAGTTTCTTGGAAATAGTTAACACAAATATGTTAATTCAAGCATTTCCTGATAACATGTTATGCAAATTTGCCAGAAATGCTTCTGGCTTGTGATTTGCGTAATTGTGAGTCTGAAGCACTTGTTTAATACAACTAGAAAAGATTTGAAGACAGTGACTAAACTTAGTGTATATTCTTGAATATTTATGCATGGTACCTCAATTTCATATTTTTGATGTCTTTCATTCCTGCTTGGACCATCTGACTCTTCATTTCTGTATTCACTGTTCTCTTCTCGGTTTGCCTTCTCAAGCACCACAACAATCTTGGCACCTTCTTCTGGTATATAACCAAACACCTCGCACATGAAACCGGATACTGTCTCATACTGATGACCCTAGTAATTAAAACAAACACAATGTAGTGAATATCAGGAAATTGTAACAGAAAATTCTAAGAGGAAAGATGCAAACTCATGAATAATTGAATTCTCAAAAGTAATTGGTGCTGAAATCAATAAGTTGTAATCTCATATGAGTGCACTACTCCCAACTCCCAAGGTTAATCTATAACCCAAACTGTACATCACAAAAACATGCATTATATCTGTCCTAGTAGGATTTGTGAAACAATGATTTCAACCGATTTGCAAGACTAAGTAGGGCCAAATAAATACACAATTTAGCTGGCAGACAAATACAGGTTTTTGACATAGAGCCAACAGGTATTACCAACAGTTCAGCTGAGATGGCACTGGAACACATAGCATCCAACTGTTTTGGAAGGATGATCTTGGTTTGACACTATTTCTGAAAATCAATAGGTATTGTTGAGCCTCAATGTTAGCAGAATTATGCTTAATCAAACTCGCCATACAAGTGGCCAGGGTAAAATAGATGGATTGAGCTTTGTCCACTCAAATTAATGAAGGTTGTAACAGTCACCACCAACCCTATATCCTATCAACAAAAATATTCTTTATTTTACAATAATCAATCACATAATTTACAACTCAACAAGTCTTAAAGATTAACGAATATGCATCCTCTTAAAAGTCAATCACATGTATTTATTAAAAAATTAAAGTTGTCTCACTCTCACAAGTATGTAACAGAGTTAAACAAGACAATCTACCACAACTTCCTATACACATTCTTTGATAATCATGGATATCTATGTGTCGCCAACTTCCTCTTGGTTTTATGACTCAAATGGCAGCCGCTGTATAGTTTTCTTATGTGCTTAAGTATCAACCAAGCAACCAGTTGATTGATGCTTTATCCCAAGTTTCCAACCACAACTATTACACCATGTTCCTTCATTTGCAAAACTTGTGGGCAAAAGATTATGATGCAATTTCATCATTAGACAACTTTGAGCAATTCCTAATCCATCCCTTATTGCATTATGTGTACCCCTACAAATTGTACAGGTTACCAGGACGGGGTAGAGTCTGTTTACTGTTTAGGAATTTTCTAGATACCCTTCTGCAATCAAAGGTTTCAAATACCGGTTGGACCGGTACATGCCAACTAATATTTTCTAGCTGATCAATTAATGGTACTGGACAATACTAGCTCGGTAACAAGTGATTGTTCTTTTATTATTTTTCAATCATATCAGGCAATACAGGTTGTAATACTGCCTGCTATAGCCGCACTATACTGTTTCATCAAGGTGTTGAAATTAAAATTGGACCAAGATTTTAAACCTTGCCTGTTATATTAGTGTATGCCATCAAAAATATTTCAATACCCTCTTGCAGAGACGACATCCCTAAGCAATCACTAGGGTGCTCTATAATGATGCTGCATCCAAACAATCATTTTAGCTCCCTTCTGTTGCAAATATATTGAGAATAATTTTCTTGGGCATCATCTTCCTGCAAGTGCATCTCTGGTTGCCACTCTCTGCAATACTGCAATTCCCCTCCTAAAATGACAATGACCTCAAACAATTCTTTTGGGTACTCTACAGTAGCTGTCTCTTAATTTTTTAAGGTTCCCCGTTATTGCCACTTGGTCAATTAATTTTCTGGGGCAACATCCTGCTGCAAATATATCTCCAGGTGCCACTCAATAGGCAATACTTTGACACCCACTAGCATCAAATTTATTGCCGCCATTATTTCCCAACTGTTGTACCTCTCAACTCAGTTGCAGAAAGCTTATTCTGACAACCATCAATAACAATCTATGATGTTGAAATTCTTCATGGTAACACAAGTTGAAGAAGACTCATCTTACCAAGAGGCACATGAAGCATCTTCGGTTGGAGCATTTGGACATGTTTGAGAAAGGCCAACAAACCACTGTACCACACCACAAAATTCTTAGGAATCATCTGATAAGAGTGCTTCCCCTTTCACATAATAAGAACAGTTCAGTGCTTTTTTATTTACCTTCTTATAATTCTGAAGGATCTACTAGAGGCCCAGACAATAACCTAATTTATCCTGGAGAAGAAATCACAGATGTGAAAATTTTCAGCTAGCTGTAAATATACAGCCAAGCTCCAGAGATGCAGCTAATAGACCCCTTCCATACTCTGTCAAGGGCTATTCAGCTATTGGAGAGCATGCTAGAGGATAAATTAGTAGAAGATCTAATAGCACCTCAATCTTCGACGTAGTCAAACTTGATTCACCCACTACAGCACTTTTGCTTCAGGACAGCAAATGGATTGTACAACAAATTCTTGCCCATCTTGAAGCTCAAGGTGAACAGTCATTTCCTTATCTCTGACACTGTATAGATCATTAAGCTCAACAATGACAATTTTATTTCTACAACAACATTGGCATCCTTCCTCAACACGTGAAAAAGGAAAGGATGACAAAGACTAAGAGCGTGATTTTGCAATATGGTTTGGACTTCTGACCCTCCAGTCTACAACTTGGGAGTAAAGTGCAATCGATGTGCTGTAAATTATTACGGACTGAAGAGAGCCTTTTCAATTCTCAACCAACCTCCTAGTTGAGTTAGAAAAAGAGAGATTTGATCAAGCATCCTCAACATCTCTTAGTGGTAATATATTTTATTTTATATTTCCTACTATTTTCAAATGTATTAATGTTAGTACTTCTAGTAGCTATTTTAGAAAATCAAAAGAGTCAAATTTGAATTTGAACCTATTTGATGTCTAAGGGTCCTAATATATTATTTGTTAGTCAAATGGTTTAGCTAATACGAGTATATTTGTCAGTTCTACAGGTCTCTTTTGGTGGGATATTTGTGGCGTGACCATATCATACAAAAACAAAGTTACATAAGACATCTTAATTGGCTATATAAATGAGCGGTTGTAAGCTTTTGAGTTATAAATGAACGCAACAAAATTAGATTAATTTAGATTTTTAATATCTTTTTCCTCTCTTATTCTATCTTAAATGGCCTCATCTCCTCCAGTCCTCCTTGAATCGGAGAAAGCCAAATTAGTAGGGTTATATCCTACACATTGACTGAAAACATGTGACTTTACCAAGTCTCCATATGTAACAACAATTTTTTTCTATCAAAGATTGACCAACTGAGAATCCTGTTATTTTCTAGAAAGGCAAGGCTAGTTCTCACAATAACAAATATTTTACCTATGAAAGCCATGAGCTACAAAGAGCCTTCAAACATCAAACAAGAGAAAGATATTGTCAATGTTATCATGGAAAATAAACTCAACTCAAAATGTATAGATTCATGCTCAATACTCAAATGTTCACATAAGAACCATTGAGAAACAAATAAGAAAGTTAAATTTAGAAAGAGGAATGGTACGAGTCTATGAGAACTGCAAGAACTAGCAGTAATGTCCCAACTATTTGAGTTCGTTTATATGGATTGGTTCCATGCCATTGACCTGTGTAAGACATCTCTACATAAATCAGAGCATCCAAGTCCCTCTACATCTTCTTGCACCAGTAATCTTAATTAAATAACATCTAATTACAACATCTGAAAGTTTTCCTTGAACATGTCTGAATCATCTTGGATGATTATCTTTATTTTGTTCCCTCTCAATGCAACACCTCATTGCTATCAAACTAAATCAATTCTTATAATCTTTTTAATAACTCCACAATCCACATTTACCTCAATGTTCTCATATTAGCTACACAAAGTTTCATGTATGTTGTTTTTTAACCGTCTCAACACTATGCTCCATAAATTACAACTATCTTATTAAAATTTTCATTTAACCAGAAAGGAATAATCACAAAAAATTCTGTGCTCCTCTCCATTTTAACCATCAAGTTTTACTCAATGAACAATGTGTCAATATCTTCTTCTTGTTAATTATTAAAAAAAATCAACTTTTACTCACAGCAATTTCTTACCTATCCATCACAACCACACTATTTCTTTTCTTAGTATTTCTAAAGTACAATCTATGTATTTAGTGTTAATCCTACTTAATCTAAGACCTTTTATTTCTATCATTTATCTTCATAACTCGAGTTTATTGCTAATCTCTACTAAAATTTCATTGATAAAAAAAATATGGTTAGTAGATTAACATATAAAATGCATGCCTACCGTGTCTGATTACAAAATTTGTCTATAACCAACGTCAACAACTAAGAACTTAAGGCTGAATCTTGATGCATGCTAGACACAATCTTTGTAATCCTAACATTAATGATGACTCACAACTTTTACCATGGAAAAATAATTACTAGCTACTTTCTTTTCTATATCCCACCATAACAATTCTCTATAAACTCTCTCTTAAGCTCCTTCTAAGTCAATTAAAAATCATACAAATTTTTTTATCTATATTTTTTTATTTTCTCAATAAATAAATAACATCTATGGTTGATTTTTTGGGCATAAAACCAAGCTAAGTCTATGGGTAAAGAAGGTAAAGAATTAAATGGTGGTTCATTAAATGAACATTCTTCTTTACATAAGCAAAATTGCTTCCAAGTTCACCAAGAGAGGGAAAGGAGAAAAAAGAGAAACCTCTGGCAGTTTGACATTCAGTTCTTCTGAAAGTTGATCAATTGATGTATTTGCATCAACATCAAATGTGCCATCCTCTTTCATTACAATATAACCAGTTTTCCTCTGAATCTCTTCCTGCAAAAATTGAAAACAAAAATGTGGACTGTCATATAGTTATTCAACACACAGAAAACCAGGTTATCAACCATGGGACAAGCTTTTTCAACTATTCTAAAACAAGCAACAGAATATAGGTAAATTAAAATATATCATAATAAGTGGATGTATTACTCGTCCTGTAAAAGGAAGGCCTTACCTGCACAAAAGCAAACTCTGAAAAAAAGAAAATGAGTAAGCAGTTTGTCAATGCAATAATACAAAATAGGTGTCATCAAACATTTTTTAATTACATTCATCACCATTAGTTACTCTTTCACAATAAAGAAGCCAAACAGTAGGACATGTCTGCCACTAGAAAAAAAAAGTTTTCATCTCCATTTTAAAGCACCAACCTTATGATTCATTCTTGCAAAAAAAAGCAGAGGACAATTTTACCTGCAGGACCTAGAAATATATTTTTAGAACAACAAACTAAGAAGCTCTGGCACTGCAATTTTGAAGTTGTGGTCATATCGGATGCAAAAGATAATATTACATACAAAATACAAAACCGTCTTGTCATATATAGTTATTTGTTGGGAAAAACTAGACACCTATAGTTTTGCAATGCTATCTCATTGTATGGAGTACATACAAGAAAGGTCAACCAGATAAGATGCGATGATGTGTATTAGATGGTTGTTGTATAATCTATCTGTAAGCTAACTCCAACTACAGCTTATATTTGCATCCAACTCATGAATTGATTATAAATAAAAATATTTTTTGCCTTATTAACCTTTAAAAATGAAGCTTTTAATATTCTGAGATAGTTGTAAGCACAAAGTCGTCTCACATGACAAGGCATTAAGGATTTTGAATTGTTATTAGGGTTGGATCTAGACAAGTCAGGGATGTATTGGGTTTGGACCAGAATAAATTGTCTAGCCAAGTTATAGAGTTAGGGACTTAAGTTGGACACCGGTCATGCAGACCAGGATTCTAAGGGCCTGGGCTCAGGTTGATTTTGGGTTGCCCAAATGCTTGACTCAGGCCCAATCCATATTGGGTTTGTGTTGGACTTTCCCAATCCATGCATCAAGGAAGTTCAGCTTGATGTAAATGCTCCTATGAACAGATTAACTCAGTAACACAAACTTTTGACTCCCTGGTTTGAGATACTACACCAAATCTTTCATGGTTTTATCAATTTAAAGTTCCTTAACTTGAATTCATCAATACCATCCTTCCTTGCTGCAACTTAGCCAAGCAAGTTAGCCATATACCAACCAGGGCCTATCAGATAAGAACTCTTCCTATGTCTCTTCATGCCATTTAGTACGGACGGAGAAAAGCAAACATTCCAGAAAATGCAGATACATTTGGGATGGACTTTCCCAGTTAGTTTTCTGGCATATTTGAGGAGGAGGTTTAGACTTTAGATTGTTCAATGGGGTGGTTAATGATCCTTTTATTGTCTTCAAAGGGGCAGTCACATGATTCTGTGGTATGAAGCATGTGATCCTTTCTGGGAAGCTTCTAATAATAGATGCTTTTGTTAAATTGTTTAAGAATCCTCAAGACATCTTTTTCCTTTTTTTTTTTCTCTTGCTTCCCATAATTTTGTCCTTTATCATCCTCTAATTGAAATAAGCAAGAAAATTTAATGCCTATGCACAAAGCAATTATATGGGGTTGCTTATAGAGCATAATTGAAAAATGAGAAATTACTATGGAAGACACAATTATATAACCAACTTCTAGTTAAAGTCCATAGAAAGCCATTTCGCTAGGACCAGTACTACACAGGCAGTACATACCAGTCCAAGTGTGAATCGGTACACAAACTGTCATTGTTTTGAGTGGTCACATTCGTAAGCCCTGTTTTCCGCAAACAGGCATGAGCTCTCTACGCCCTTGAGCTGCCTAGATACACTTCCTCCTCCCCTCTTCTCTTCCTCTTCCTCCACCGCCTCCTCTCCTTCCTCTTCCGCCGCCACCTCCTTTTCTTCCTTTCTCTTCCTCTCCTTCCTCTTCCTCTTGCTTCCTCCTCTTCCTCGACTACCTCTTCCTTCTTCTTCTTCCCTCCTTTTTTTCACTGCCCTTCCTCTTCTCCTTCTTCTTCCTATCTGAGTCACCAGTACATACTAATATGCCATGTGTCAGTACATCAGTACTGACCAGTGCTTACTGGTCCAGCCTACCCAAAACGGCATTCCCTGCTAAAATCAAGCTTCTAAAGTTGGTCCAGAGTTTCTACAATGTTCTCTATTACAAAACTTTATGCATATATGATCATATATACAATTTGAATTGCATAGTTGCAATAGCAAATAAATAAATAACTAAAAGAAGATAAAACAATAAGGGCGAATTCCTAGAAAAAGCCCCTAAGTTTAGGAATTTCTAGTAGAGTGCCCTAACTTTGAAAAATTCTTAGATAGCCCTTTTTTTTTTTCAAAATGGTCATCCTACCCACATCAACCACCGCCGTTCTCTCACCGACCACCTTGCTGACCACCCTCCCTTGGTCGTCTAGGCCTCCGCGCGCATAGGGCTAGCCCCGCCGACCGTCCTCCTTCGCGAGCGGGCTACCCCTACTGGTCACCCCTCTCCCCTCCCCTGACTGCCTACGCATCCGTGCTCGCGTGGGCTAGCCCCGTCAGCTGTCCCCCTCTGCGTGCAGGCTAACCCTGCTGGTTGCCCCCCTCCCCTCCCTTCCCCTAGTCCCTTGCACCTTCGTGCGCATGTGGGCTGGCCTCGTTTGTCACCCTCGTCCCCTCCCCTAGCCTCCTGCACCTCCACTCGGAGGCTGGCCCCACCAGTCGCCTCCCTCAGCGAGCGCGATGCCCCTGGGTCCGACGAGGGTGCAGGGGCAATGGTAGAGGCGGCAAAAGGAGGAGGCAATAGTGTTTCTGGCGATAGCAGGGGTAAAACAATCATTTCACGTGACCAGGGGCACTATCTGAGAATTTTTCAAAGTTGAGTCGCTCTGCAGGAAATTCCCAAACTTATAGGCTTTTTCCGAGAATTCGCCCAAAAGATAAAACAAAAGGGCATTGAAGAAGACAATTGTCAGCTCAATTAGAGAAAGAAAATATCTTCATATAGTTTTCTTACTTTGGAGTCATTTTCATCGAAGATTTCACCAACAATTTCTTCAACAACATCTTCCAGAGTAACGATCTGTTACACAGCCAAAGATTTTAGTGGTCAAACCGTAAATAACAAAGAGAGAAACAAAATCCTCTTAAACTTGAAATCCATAAAGTATGGATATGCTATATTACTGGGATATCTTTCATACAGATTTCAAAAAAGATTGTTCAGAACATTAAATCCTACACCAGTAAAACTTTCAGCCAGATTGCAATGCTTCAACAACAATTTGTCTGTGTTTATGTGTGGCATTTGCATCAAATTCTATCAGAATTAAATTTGTGATATGTGCACTAAATGGCAAGGAGGAGTATCGGTTCTAATTAATAGATGACTAGCACTACCATATGAACACTAAGTCTTTCCTGCCAACAAAATCCTATAGACATCACCACACCATGGGATCTAAACTTTTAAAGTATAGAGCTCAACTTAAAAGTGCAAATAACGAACGTTTATGTTTTGAAAGCAGTGTAACAATGTAACAAGACAATAAGTTGAACTGGAAGCATATAATAAGAATAAGTAATACTAGCAATGGCCATCTAAACAATTAAAATAAAAAATTGAAGCTACAGATGGCACTAACAAAATATTTCATGGAAACAATGCTATAAATAATCAATAGAATGACATATTAATAGAAATTGAACTAAAAACAAGTGGCTCTACTTCATATAACTTTAACATCTTCAATTAGTTTGCACTGACTAGGCTAAAAAAACTAAAGCATTTATGTTTAGGAAAATGCCTGCTTGCACAATTCACATGACAATCACCATTAGAAGAGCTCCTTTGCAATCAGCTCTTTTTTTGCAACTCAATAAGAAAACATGAAGATCAACTAACTAGAACTGTGGGAAAAAAGATGACACAAAAATGTTGCATGAGACTGTTGATAAAATAGGAACTGGGAAAAAGGCAATACAATTAGGAACCCAATGCTACGAATATAAAAGAACACTTTAGAGTAGAATGAGATGGCATGAAGCATTAACATACACCAACTGTTCCCCCATATTCGTTCAGAACTACAGCCATGTGAACTTTCCTAATGCGGAACTCTCTCAGCAGGCTCCATACAAACATTGAATCTGCACTATCGATATAACTTAAATTAACAACTGGAAAGAATAACCTATTATCATTAAATAAATGTTTAAAGAACAATAATATTTATGAATCTTGGAAGTACTAATAGCTACTATGCATTACCAATCACAAATTAAAATGCTTGTCTGATCGGTAGGTACTGATGATTTTAACAGTGCACCAAGCAACGGTGACAGACTATATGGCTTGGTATTGCTCAGTATACTGCCCATTTTATTTTATTCAGCGATATTGGGTAGGATATGTTACCACATTGTCACAAACAAGTCTGTACACAAAGTATTCGATGTAATGTTTTGTGTATCCATGTCTTTCGGATCTATTAATGCTTTGCACAACATGTAGAGAGTTTACAGTTGGCTTTTGTGGTCATTTTTGGTTTGTACACACCGGTTGTGTACGATCATCGCGTAGAGGCAAAACTGTCCAAAAATAGGCTATCCAAGCAGTCATTTTGGATGATTTCTGAGTGTGCAGAATAGTGCAAAATGTTAACCATTTCAACACCCTAGAGGTGGGCACAAGGCTGGATGGGGCCTTTGGGGTATTGTCTAGGGTTGATTCACTGCCTTATTCCGTAATAGTGTGATGTGGGCACTTGTGGGAACTTTTGGCCATGGTGGACTATCTTGGACCCTTTGTCACGCGACTATTCAAAGCTTGTGAAGTCTATTTTTGTATTTTGAATTGCCTATCAAGTGTTTGCTGAAATGTTTGCCTGTGGGATCTCAAGTATAACGCTTCTTCTAACCTGTCTTTTCTTTTGCAAGTCCTTAGGGGACCCTACGAGGTTACGGAGAGACTGACCCTTTGAAGACGAACATGTAAGGGTACTGCATAACTTAGGCAAATTCAACTAAGTCCGTGACAACATGATGATACTATCTTAGTCATACAAGTTATAAAAAATAGTTACCAATGTCGCTATTTATGATAATTTAATGTACTAATTTTGTATTACCAGGAACAAAGTATGTTGGCTTGTGAGCAATCTCCTTTACAGTGGATTCTTGCAGCTTGTCAACCTTCAAAAGCAAAGAAAAGTACTTAAAGCAATGGATTAGTTGGAAGTTTAGCTCAATGGTGACACAACAATTGATAAAATAAATCTTGACTCAAACCTTTTCAACATATTCCAGCATGTCCATTGCATATGCAATGCCCACAATATTATCTATACGCTCCTCAAAAACAGGTACCCTAATATCATACAAATAGAAGTATAACACAAGCTCAGAATTTTGGGTGATTTACAAATGAATTAGTTGCACAACATCACTTACATGTTTAACGTACCTAGAGTATTGATGTGTCTCCCATTGCTTTTGAAAATCAATAAGCTTCGCACTTGCATCTATTGCAACTACATCAATTAGAGGTGTCATTACCTCTTTGACATGTGTGTCTTTTATCTCTAAGACATTTTCAATCATATCCTGTTAATTAATTTTACATAAAGCATGTCAGATGCTGATTCCTTTGTAAACCTGAACATATAGTTCATAAAACAATACTGAACAAGCACATGAAGAGAACGAAACCATATAATTTATATGCATTCGATTTATAAAAACAAAAAATAAACTAAAACTTCCAACCCCTGTTCGATAGAACATCAATAACATTATTAGAGAATATAATTTATTGTTAGATGCTGGATTCTCTCTACCAATCCTTGGACCAGTGCACTTCTAATCCAAGTGTAACTCAACGTGTCATTCGTTTAAGACCATATAAACATCTAAACTAGGATTGACCAACCCACAGTGGAACTATGCTAGAAGCCTAGAACATATTAGCATAGTTGGGAACTGTGTCATATTTACTATACATGAAATATCATCTCTAAAGATAGGATACACCCATAGAGGATTTGTGCCAGAACAGGCTAGAAGCATAAAAAAATGTGAAAAAGATTCCACATCTTTTATGTAGGTAACATGCAACTGCACACTTTAGGCATGTTACAGAAAGAGCAGCCCTTTATGCGATAAAACATACATCTAAGAATGTCAAATAAAATAACAATCTACAAGAAACTTTAAACAAATTCAGATTATCTATTCTATCTTCATCTAATAATCAGATTATACACAATAAATCTTACCTTTGTTAAATCAACTAGATTGCTTAGTTCTATAACAAGCAATGTTTGCTGTACCACCTGAAATGGTATGGTACAGGTGGTATGTATCAATCCGGGCATGGGCCGATACATGGACCACCTCGTTTCGGGCAGTCCAGTTAAAATAATAAAAAAATAAAAAAAAAGTGGTGGGGCCTTGTCCAACTCATCGTTAAAAAGAAAAACAAACAAATTAGGGCTCACGAACGCAAGCACTCTTCTCGTGTAAGATGTCGCTGCCTCACTGTCACCGCTTCACTGCTGCTACTGTTGCTGTCGCTGTCGTTGCCTCACTGCTGCCGCTTCACCACAGTTTCCCAGGTACGATGCTGCTGCTCTTTTCTTCCACCTATTCTTTCTTTTCTTCCTTCTTCTTCCTCCACTTCTTCCTCTTTTTCCTTTTTCCTCCTCTATTCCTCGGTCCCTTCCTCTTCTCTCCCTTTTTCTTCCTCGCCGAAACACCGGTACACACCGACATACCATGTGTCGGTACATCAATACAGACTGGTATGTCTGGTCTGACAAATTGCCGAAATGAGTCCAGTACCCAAAAAGGAAATCCTTGGTAACAATATCAATTTTTATGTAAACTCTACAAACACAAAGAAATATATATAACCATATTGTAAACACATGCATTTGTGAAATAATTGATCAGTGAAATTCCATTGTCCAAAGCCTACAAAAATAGAGACATAATAGGATACTAATAACAAAATAAAAAAACACATAAAAATATATGTGAAAATTTATAATGCTCCCAAATGTCAATATGACGTAGGAAAACCACTAGATAATTATCAGAAAAATGTAACAAAAAACAAAATCAAGATTTTGCATTAATCTAAACTGAATGAGAAGCAACCAAGAAAAATTATGGAAGATCAAAACAGAAATAAAGCCACCTTATAAGTTAAGAACAGCAATGCTAAATCAATTTGTATCAAGTTATACAAATTTGGGCACCTGTTCTTCCTCTTCTATTGCTCCACTTAGTTCTGCTCCTCTTAGCATCAGTTTTAGTTCATCTTCAGTCACATAAGGTTCACTACATTACCAAACAAGTATCAGGAAAAGAAAATAAAGTCTTATATAAAGTCTAACCTTCTCTATAATTTAGACTGTGATGAAAAAGGTGTTTATATCAACATACAAGAAAAGAAAGCATATAACAGGCAGGCCTTATATCAACATATAAGAAATTTCCTTTTTTGTTATGACAGAAGAAGGAAAAAAAGGAACGAAAAGATTCAAAAAATTCACTGTCTCATGTGTCCATCAATTTCTATCAGAAAGCAAGCAGGTTCCTCCTTGAAGCACATAGAAAAATCATAAGAAGAAACAAACAGCAAAGTATTTCCAATCAGTCCCCTTAAGCTCCTTTAGAAAATTACATGGGCAATGATCTTCTACTTTAAAACAACTAAAACAATGCACATTATGATCAAGTAGCAAATGAAGAACTTATTGCTAAACATATCTTAAATTTCTTGTACATTCATAATAAAGTAGCATGAAAGGCATGAAAAAATTAAAGAAATAGGAAGAACATGAACAAGGGGTACTCTGAAACATGACCTACCTTCTGCCTTTTAAACCTAGCATTTTTAAGATTCCCATCGAAAGAAAAGTGGCAATCCGTCCAACAGGATACAGGACCACTGATAGCCATGCTACTGGTCTGACATAGTTTCAAACATAAAGTTCTATCACTGCCCCAGTTCAAGAATAGAAGAGAACAAATTTACATATTAAACAATTGAGGACACGACAATCTTATTTCCTAAGATAATGGACTAACCTGACAACAAATCTAGCTACCTCTGTGGCATTATGAACAGCAACACTTTTTGGTGTAATTTCTGTTAGCAACAAAATAGCAACCTGAAATTATGAGAAGATTAGCTTAATCAGTTAAATTTAGTGAATACATCTTGAACAAGAACAGACCTAGATAATTCAAAACTACAATTGTCAAATATCTTCAGCAACAAAAGTACATGGGACCAGGCTAACAGATTTTTTTAGTTATTATGTTTCTGTAATCAAAGTCGCATTATCTTAAGGAAACTATAATTTTTAATATGCCCTTAGTTCTCACAGAAAGATATAAACATCTGCATTTGGCGTAGAGGTATTATTTTTTCAAAAAATGCATATAGGTTAAACATTTCAAGACACAAATAACTACATATGCTGCATAGAAACGAGATTTTTACGCTTACACATGCATCAACAAAGTTTTCTGTTCTTGTGTTATAAACCTGCATTTGTAACATGTTGGCACAATGTGTGAATTGATACAGGCTGCCATGTCAGAGCAGGGTGGCCGCATTGCCAATACCATGCTGGCTGATGAGATTTCAACATGACCAACATATGTGGTCTTTGCATGCATACAATTCTCAAATCCATGCACCAAACATCCTTTTGCTTTATGGCCAATAAAGAGATAGCAGCACAATGTATTCCAGTTGCTTCTCATCTTAAGGAGGTACTTTGGGTACGTGCATCATAAACATGTTTGATCATGAAAATGTACTACAATCATCCTTCTTATTGTTCTTGACTAGCTGTTAACACAAAATTCGAAGATTCAACCTAGATAGAGTAATAGTAAAATACTAAAATGACCCTTTGCTTTTCTTTCTTTCCTCCAGCGCTGCAAGGGTGCAACCATACACTACTAGCATGAATCGTGGAAGAACTCAAAACACCTCACTAAGGGACAATAAGCACAAGGTACAGGGCAGTGAACCAAACCTACCTCTCATAAGGGAGCCAATGCTACCACCACCAAGATACCAGGTGGATGCAAATCCCATTATAAGTACAACTTACAAATGGTATTACCACTGTAAAGTATGTACACAACAGTGATGCATATTCCATGCACATTAACAAAAGGCATTAGTCACCAGAACAGTCGCAGACATTGTTGTAACCAGTAAGCTTGCACCTTGAGATGTCACAGGAAATATACAGATTCATAACAGAAGAAGTTAGGAGCATACTGTCATAACCCCTGTTGCTGCACTAATTCCAGCTTCTCCAAAAATTGCAGTTGCTGCATCCGTAACAAGTGCTGTGGCACCAATATTGACCACACTGAGTACATATCACCAAATCATAAGATAAGGAACATATAGTCTTAATTAGTTGATGAAATAACCCATAGAAAGTTGAACAAAGAAGCAAATGTGAAGTACTCAATTATTTAGAATTACGTTGTGCCAATGAGAATCGTTGTCAGGAAACGAGTAACATCACTTCGAAGCAGTCTGAAGACACCATTTTCTGGATCCTTCTCAGCCAATTCACGAACCTGCTTTAGAGGAAATTAAATATTTGAACGTTGCTTCTAATAACGAGAGAAATGAGAGGTATAAAAATGAACAAAGTAAATATGGAAATAACTTTTGCTGCATCATCAACATGATCAAAACAGTTGCAACTTCAAGCAATTTACAGATTTAAACTGCAGTAGTAGCAAACACACGAGAAAATCAATCATTTCATAGCTTTCATTAGAATAAAATATCAGTTGTTCAACATTATGAACGAAAGAATCTGAGTACTTCTATATGACCAAAACTCACGCATGATAGAATGAATATATGTAACAAAAATAAATAATGATTGAATAAAAGATCATCAAAATGATACATAAGTCATTATTTTTCTATTTGCTTCCATTTCATTTACTCTGCTTACAAAGTAATATGTGCAGTTCTAATTCCAATATTGTATGTTCCTTATAGACTGACCAAACTGTAGCCCCACTTAAAGAAGGTTATTAGATGTTGTAGTTGAACCAACTCATAATTCCACAAGCCTACAGATTGAGAATGATGCATATCAGACCTGTAATTAGCTTATGACAAAAGCATAAGCAACTTTAACAAGATGAGAGAAGTAATGTAATGTACAACAGAACATCAAAGGAAGTCAGTAGATTATTAAATCCAACAAAACCAAGGATGGACATTAGTCCACATGCGGAGCAAAAATGGAAAGGAATTAGGAGACTTATGCTTAGTAAACAAATCAGATGAAAGTATAGGTAATTACAACAGCATGATACATTGTCGAGGTTCAAAATATCAGTACAAGTACCTGAACTAGAACTTGTTACGACCGATAGATAACAGTCAGTACAAAACCAACACTGATTGGCAAACAAATAAAAGAAAAAAAATTACCAGAGTACATTAGCATACCAGTAACAGGTCAGACCTCTATGTAGTATGTACCTAGCAGTACACCCGATAAACCTCGATTTTCAATTCCTTGCATATCATAGCACCTATAGCATCCATATGTCACAAGACACATCACAAAACATTTAAAGAAAATGTTCCTATCATCTTTACAGTCCTACATAAGGTGTAAATTGCTTCAGACACTTCTTAAAAAGATAGCAACAGGCAAGAACATCGGGACGTAAGCCTCTGATTAATTCTGAGAGAAAGGAGTGCCTAAATCCTTAGCTCTGTTGTTTGGTACCATTATTAACCATGAATAAATGCTGGGGCCAGTTTTTCCACAATAAAAAATGTGAAGGCATTGACTAGATGAGCTTGATACTGCAAAATGGGGATCTATAAACAATTAAGGGAGTGTTTATTTTAAAAAATAACTTAGATTTCATCTCTATTTCCCTTTCATTTCTCCATAAAATCGAGAAAAAATGTTTCACCTATTCAAACTAAAAAAATCATCTCTTATGTTACTTGCCTAATTTGTTCCCCAAATTTCATTGATAAAAAAGAGATCTAAGAGAGAAAAGAAGATTAGGCCCTCAGCTCCAAAGGAACATAACTTGTCACTATACTTTCTTCTCCCTCTTTCTAATCTATAATGTGGATGATTATTCCTTCTATGATGCCAGGACCCATGTTGCCATTACAAAGGTGCTCCACAAATGTGAGCTTGGGAACTTCTTGTCAGCTCGCAAAAGATGATACCATAGCTGAACCGAAAAAACAGTGACTTTCATGACATGCTGCATCTGGTCATGCAACAAATGGAACACAAGAAGAGAAAGGTTGAAAACTCTTAGATCAGCCTTCCACAATGGGCTTTTCCATGGTAAGAGGAGCCTTTGAACAAATCTTACGAAGGTTAAATGAAGGGCTACAATCACTTATCACACTTCAAGACTCCAACAAGCAGAGAGATCCTGCGATGTCTTCCCCCGTTTAGCCTCAATTCCATAACCTAATTTAGGCTTCAACACATACTTGAAACTGCAAAATTAGTGTTTATATACAACGATAACAACAACAACAAAACCGTAAGTCTCAACTATTTAGGGTCGACTATATAGATCTCTTACCAACATCGAGATCTGTAAAAGACTATATGTTTGGTTAAGTTAAGAGTACTTCAATCTTTATTTATGGTTTCTATTAAAGTCTTTTTAGGTCTTCCTCTACTTCCGCTCGTACCACTAACATTAATTATTTTATCTCTTTTGGCTATCGCATCTGGAGATCTCCTAAGCACATGCTCATACCATCTTAAATGATTTTCTCTCATCTTATCTTCTATCCAGGCAATACCTAGTTGTTCACGAATAGAAGTATTTCTTTTCTTGTTTTCCTAATAACTTCACACATCCATCTCAACGTTATCATCTTAGCAACACAATTTTTTTGTATATGTTGTTTCTTAACTGTCCAACACTTAAATCGATAAAGCATTGTTACTCTCACAACTGTCTTATAAAATTTTTCTTTTAATCTCAAATGTATCCGATAATCACACAAGACTTTTGGTGCCCCTCACCATTTTAACCATCCTGTTTTTACTCTATAAATAATATATTCATCGATCTCTCCATCTTGTTGAATAATTGATCCAAAATACCTAAAGCTTTTGTTTAAAAAAATTTCTTATCCATCCAACTTAACTATACTCTCTTGTCTATTATTAGAATTACTAAAATTACATCTTATATATTTAGTTTTAGTCTGAATTTAAAATCTTTAGTTTCTAAGGATTGTTTCCATAGCTCAAGTTTATGATTAATTCCACTTAGATTCTCATCAACTAAGATAATATTATCAGCAAATAATATACATCAGAGAGGTCTATCATGTAAACGACTAATAAGTCAAGCCATTATCGATGTGAAAAGATAGAGATTAATACGGATCATTGATGTAATCCTATGCTAATAGGAAACTCACTAGAAAAACTCTCTATAATTCTAACACTAGTAGCTACATCATCATACATATCTTTAATAACATAAAAAAATAGTGTTTATATGCATCTGGCAAAATAATTCTTATCCATCTCCATACATCGATAACTGAACACAGTTCAATGACCTCCTCAAAGAAAAAAAGCGTACCTTCCATGGCCACAGAGTCGTGATTGCAGTTTCTGCCAAAGAAAAGAAAGCAGAAAGTCCCAGCAACGCAGCCAATACTAAACCTTGCTCTCTAAGCACATTAAGAACCTGAAACAACTTCGGCCACACCACCATAGGAACCGCTTTCTCCGAACCAAAGGCCGCAACGCCAGATTCCACCACCCCCTCTGCGGCAAGAGATCTGCAGGACCTTGCGACAAGCATCCCGCAGGCAATCATCGCAATCACAGAACCAAACCCAAGGGAACCAAGAACCCCAAAAACTCGAGCTCTCTCATCCAGAGGAATCTCCTTTCTTCCATCGGAATCAAAACTGCGGACGACGGGCGATAGCTCGACCCTTTTACACCAGAAGGGGAAGAATGTACCGAAGCCGTGAGAATTCTGGCGGCCACGGCCGGATTGAAGTGGGAAACGAGATGTTCTGAAGGGAGGACAAGCATTGGGCCCGCGGATGTGGTGTGGCCAGCACAGTTTAGGATGTCCCTGCGTGAGGATGAGCCCACCGGCTCGGCCGGCGAGGGAAGTATTGAATGCGAAGGAAAACATGGGGATTGGGGTAGCGGAATGAAAGGAGAGGGGATGGAGAAGGGGGCCTAGGGTTTTGGATTGGAGAAGGGGTTGGTAGAAGGTGGCGGCATACCGACCGAATCGGACGAGGAAGAGAGGGACGGAGTTCTGCTCGCTTTCCGTCAAAAGGGTGGCATCTGCCAGATTCACTCGGCATCTCTTCGGATGCTTTTGCGTTTTAAGAAAGTAGTAAATCCGGCACGTGCTCCGCACGAGCTAGCAAGTAGAATAATACGTCGAAGATATTACCAAAAATAGCACCCAAAAATAAAATGCAAGTACGATTTTTCAAATATTCGACTTAGTAATGCCAAATTATGGTTTATTTCATTTGAATTTGAATTTTTAAGTTTGTGTTTGCTCTTTAACTATTAGAGATTAAGCTCATTAAGTTATTGAGAGATTTAGGAGATATAGTCTGAATTGCCATTACCTTAACTTAGAATTATTTAAATCGAGAAGCACAATTACGATATCCATCCGTAAAAGATTAAGTGTAATCTAAATATAAAGAAGCACAATTACAATGATGGAGCTCAATTTGAAAATACAAACTATAAATTAGCTAATGAACTTGTATACAAATCATGATCTGATGATGATATATTAAATCCCACCAAGTAAGATTAATATTTCAAAATCTCATCCAATATATTTTAAAGATATTATATAAATTAGCTAATAAAGATCTTTTTAGATTACCACAAGATATGATCAAATTTCATCCTCACCACTTATCTTTGCAAAATAATAATAATAATAATGCTAAGGTAGGCTTATTCTCTAGTTTATCTTACAAGACCTCACATAGAGAAAAAGAGAGCTGAGAAAGACTGCATTTGCTTAATCTGATCTCAGTCTCACTGTTGATGTAGGCAAAATGATCTATTGAAATGCTAACAATAGTCCAATTGACCTATTACCTACTGATTCCTTATGACAATGTTCGAATATGAGTAAATACAGTGAAAGCAAAAGGACCAAGTTAAGAACATCAAATTTATGTTGGACGATGCCATGACAGGCCAAGGAACTTGACGTGCACTAGCTTCAGAAGTCATGCAGTTGGCTGAGCCTCTTAAGAAGTCAAAGCACTTGGCTGCAAAAACTACAATTTGAAGAAAGACACAGAAGAACGACCATGAACTCGAAGAGAAAGATAATTACTTGCTTGCTAGTTTCCTATGGCAAGTTACAAGAAATCTAAAATATGTGATGACAAGATATCAGCACCCATAAAAAAGGGAAATAAGAGAAACAACAACAGATGAAAGAAACATCACTTTTGACTTGTGATGATATCATAGCTTGACCTCCACATCTACACCTGCTGGAAGATCAAGCTGCATCAGTGAGTCGATCGTTTGGGCTGTCGGATATAAGATATCGATTAGTTGTTGGTGAGTCCGGATCTCAAAATGGAAGCGAGTCCTTGTGAACGTGCGGTGACTTGAGGATGCAATAGACTCTTCTCTTTGTAGGAAGGGGAACAGGACCCATCGTCTTGGCATTCGTCGTCCGAGCAGCTTCCAGGATCTGCTTGCACGAGTCCTCGATCAGTGGCACCCAGTAGGACCTCAGCTTGATTCTTATCTTCTACTTTGGTATCTGGAAACACAAGTAGACAAACGAGCATTTTACATACACATTATTTTATGAATCTTCAAACTTCAAACAGATCCAATCCATATTTCCTAAATTTGATGAATACAAGGTGGCCCATGGTCTCATTGTATTCCCACCAAACTAATGAAAGATGGTGTCGCAGCCTAGCAGTTCAACCAAAATTCATAGACCAATGCTAGGATGGTTAAGGTATGTGATGCTTTAAGGATATTTCAGTCAATGTTTTATGTAAAAGATTCCAAAGCAATAAAAAAATATTCACTAGTCAGGTTTGCCATCATGAAGAACAGGGACAGAAGGGTGCAGATGAGAAAGCAAAACAGTAAACCAGATTTGGCCATTCAAACTGGCCAGTTTGTTCCCTGATCTATGTCTAACAATAATCACATAACCAAGATGTAAATAACAGAAGTCTGTAGAGAAACTTGCATTGACAAGGAAAAAAAAGACAGAACTGTAGAATTCAAGACATCTTCATTTCACGGAGAAGGGTGAATCATGTGACATAACAGAATACAAAGTAGCTTTCTCTATAAGAGGATATATAAAACTGGTTTATTATGCCACATAAACTCCAGGTGGAATAAGTGAAGCCAGCAATGAAGGAAAAAACATCTTTCCTCAAGAACAGCATTTGTTACATCATACTAATTGGATGACAAGTGAAACAAGTTGGTCATTTGGGGCAAACAAATTGAAGATCTCATGGCAGGGGAAAAAGACATAAATGCATTAGTATATTTAAATGGCATTTTTAGCTTTGTCCAAAAGTAGATATGAATAGCCCACCAACACATCTTGTAGTTACTGTTACAAGAATCATATTTGAAATATTTTCCAATTTTTGTCTGAGGGAAAAAAAAGTGCTTTATAGTCAATAAAATACAATATATTTAGCTAAAACCTGATGTATAACTTTCTAAAACGTCTAAGACTATTACTAATAGGTTAGCACTTAACCATTGATACCGAATATAACGATTCCATAAGATTTAGCTAAAAAAGAAGCATGAACTTCAATCTAATGAAGATTGTTGTCTCGCTGCATCCTCTTGACTAAATTTGATGAACTCCATCATATTTCTACCTAAGCAAAATTGATGTGACATGAATCTAAGATTGGTGCCCTCTATGATGTGCAACTTAAAAGTTCACAATGAACTAATTATATTCAAAGGCATCTTCAGGTGCTACAATATCATCCTCTGAACTATAAACTGTCAAGACCCAGCAGTACTTGTTAATTGACAAGCATCAAGAAACACATATGGTTGCTTAGACAATCCACAAGTTTTTGTTCAGTCACATGTCTGATGAATCTTTCCATCTGGTCAATCACTTCAATGAATCCATCATTCTTTGTCTTTTTCATAAGATTCATCACAGATGGTCATCAATTCCTGCACGGATACGTATGCTGTCTAGTACATTAGTACCAGACTAGTCCAATAAATTACCAAAATCGGTACCACACCAAAACCTTGCTTAGAGACATATTGAAGAACAAAGTTTCACCTTTTGTTGTATCCGACCAATGCACGCACTTCATGCATCTACCTTAAGAAATGTTGCATAAAGCCAGCAAGCCTTCAACTTTTCGCCAATAGTTACTATACCGAAATGAACCACCACTATCCCCATTCCCAGCAAAACCATATCTAGATATGCTCCTAATGGATCCACAAGCTTCAAAATGAGTTTCCTTTCTTTAGATGAATGAAATCCATGGCATGATATCACAAGCTCCCAAGAACTGAGTCAATCTAAAATTCCAACAAGGTTCTCGCCACAAGTGTTTCTTATTACCGCCTACTGTTGAGATACACTTGAAAGCTTCAAGTGAAGGAGCGAGTTACATACATCAAAACTTCCTCTTTGTACTCCTTGAAGTAAATATACTCAATATCTAAAACACAATACATCTTTATTGGTCAACTATGAGAATAACTATTAGTAACATTATTGGTGTTGGGAACAGTATCATACCGTACCAATAGGTGTACCAGTCTACAAGATTCTGGTATGAGTCAGCACCCATATTGCAAACTTTTTTTTATAACATAAAAAGAAAATGTTGGCATGATGGCTGTGTTTGGGAGCACATTTGCATTTTTAATGTGCATTTGAGAAAGAGGCTTGAGTGAATCTGCAGTTGTGAAATGCTTTAAATAATTGGTAAACAATAGATAAAAACTGCATTTTAAATATGCACTGACATAAGTGTTTGGTAAAATTATATTTCAAATGTCCATTGAATATTATGTGACAAATTTACCCTTCTAATATTTTTAATATTTATTCAAAAGTGAATACATATTTTTCATTTAAATTAATAGGTAAAATAAATAAATAAATGTAATCTTACAAAAAATTTCGTATGGCCTAAATATTCAATAAAAATATAAACATATAAATGAATATAAAATAATCTTTGAAAATAAATAAATGAAATTTCACCTTGTAGAAGACATGTGAGAGGAGTCAATGACGGCACGAATTGAAAGAATATGAGAGGAAATGAGAGTTTGGATTTCTATTATATAGTGAGAACCTTGTGATTTTAGATAATGTCATAGGGTTACTCTTTATGAAATTTAAAAAATTTCACTATCCCACAAATGCTGAAATGCTAATACTACCATAATGTCACGGACAAACTTTGAAACAGGGTGTTTGATGTAATGCTTATGTATGTCCGTGTCTTTTGACATGTTCATGCCTTGTACAGAATGTAAAGGGGCGGCCGAAGGCTTAATAGTCCTATTTTAGTTGGGTTGGTAG